AAATAACTAAATGTTCGTCATTGCAGGCAGTTCTTTGATTCAATTAATGTTTTGTCAATGACACATACCCAGATGTTTGAAACATTAATGTTGTTTAGTAAAAGAACTTGTGTGCATATTCATTTTTTAGTGTTTAAGAAGAGTTGTTATCATATTTACATCTTTGGCTTACTGTGTAACTATTCTAGTGTACACTCACTTATACAAAATTGATTGTAATTTATTATTATTGAGATGTAGCTTTTGGCACTTGCATAGTCATATTGGCCCATGAATTAATTGCTAAGAGCCTCAACCAACATCCTCAGAGGCTCGCGTTAGGCAGTAAGATTAAGAGCCTGATGCAGAAAGCAGTTCTTCTCGATATGGCATGTATCTGAAGAGGTTTCTGTCTCTGGAATCCTAACCACCGATATCTTGGTCCCTGTACCAGATACCGATGGGAAACAATTTTTTATATTTATAATGTTTTTTTTCTACATAAATTTATTTCATTTTCTCATTAATATGTTTACACTTTGTAAGAATAAACTAAAAAAAATATATATTTAAAAATGTAATTTATATGTATATTTAATGAAATAAAGAGAATAATAATATCTATGGATAAACAGTAGCCTATGTTCTGGCATAATTGAGTGACAAACATCCAGCCATCCATTCATGGTAGAGGGTGGCAAACAAACAGCCAGGTCACCTAATGGTTAGAGTTTAAGTCTGGTAACCTCACTTGCTAAGTGAAGAGCACAAAAAGAATTGATTAATACTGGCTTACTGGCTTTTTTTTTTGTATAGAAAATGAAAATATACGTTGGACAAGAGAGTAATAGTTTAATTTTTATTTGTGTCTTAAACGTGGTAGTTTGGTATTTTTTTTTTTAACATTTCACACACTACCCTCTGATCCCAAACTAGGTAACCTTTACTATGGTAACCAGACTGCTGATAAACATACTTATATATTTCTAAATACAAACCTCAATTTTACAGTCACAATAAGTCAACAAAAATTCCCCAATAGCTTTTTGGAAGCCCTTTTGCATAATTTTTAATTTTTTAACACATGGTTATTAAAAAACTAGCATTTTGCATTTCTTCTGAATAAACTTTATGTAATATAAATATATGTGAAATGTACAGAAGGAAATTGCATTAGAGTATTACTTGAGAAGTGATAATTCCAAGAAAGTCCTTTAAAAGAATTATTATCTCATGTGGTGGTAATAAAGTCCCTAATGCCTCTGAACAATAATAATCAACTATATTACATATGTGATATATTTGGATATATTGTGATCACAGGTATATGATAATAGGTCTGAAAGTAAATACCAATATAATATCCAAGTAAGTAAAATTATTATTAGCCACAGAACCGACAACCGTTGCGAAAAACTTGTTCTTGAGTGGAGACCGCATCTCAGCCAACGTAGTGTAGGACAGGGCAGGTGGAGTGACGATTTGCGCAAGATGGCTAACAGGAGCTGGATGCAAGAAGGGAGAGGCCTATGTCCACCAGTGGACTGTGATAGGCTGATGATGATGAAGTGAAATTGAAGTGACTATTTGTAATTTAATTTAATATTATGAATATCATGCATTATTTGATTAACACTTAAGTGGAAAACCATTAATGATGGAAGGCAAACAAAAATTATATAGTATATAATTTTTTGTGATTTTTATAGGACAAGTATAACAAAATAAATATTATTATTTTTTTTCACCTCTTTATTTCAAGATGAATGTCCTGAGCAGAGATAATGCAAGTTACTAATTTAAATAATTCTGTATTTGTTACTTGATTTGAAAACATTAAAACTCTAAAGGTACAAACTTACGGCAGAAATTTAGTCACAAACATGTGAATTTAATAAGGATATCTAGTAAATATGTTGCAAACCTCTCTCATAATCACTCATTATTACTTTGATACGGTCGATTGTTAAATATTTCTTATTTATTGTAATCATTCAAGACATCTAATTAAAGTAACGTCTACAGCCTGAAAAATCAATAAAACTGAAACAAGTTCACACGTCTACGTGTTTTACAAAGTTATGCGTTTTAAATGAGTAGGGTTGACTTACCTCTTCACCAGTTGACAAAACAGATCTTCAACAACTAATATTGAAACTTATGAATGGTAGATAACTCAGTATCGTATTTTTATTTATTTATTTATCAGCACAAGTACAACAAAGCAGAGTGACAGTCACCTGATATGACAGTAGGATGACATTTCAATCCCGTTACGCGAAAGTAAATGTCAGTACCTAGTGTTTCACTCCACGCATTATTTTGTCGTTATCCTTCAATTTTGTTTTAATGGAAAATGTATTTCAACCGAGTACCGTACTACACGGAGCAGTATTTCACTTGGGTAACTGTTATAACACAAAAATATATACAAATAAAATGATGTTTTTGGATGTTCAGGAGCATGCCAAGGAGTTTATCAGAAGACCAATTCTCGTAATAAAAGTTCGGTCTTAATTCTGTTCCAATCAACTTTTGTTTTCACAACTGTCATAAAAAGTATTTTCGGAGTAAAGTAATAAACATTCAACGTTGACTGTTCACAAACAAAAAAAAAAACGTTCTTTGTAATCTGATCATTTCGTATTGTAACCGAAAATTGAATCGGTAATCTTAGTCTTAGTAATACTTTAATACTTTACTTACTACAAAAATACCTCTCATCACGGTTGTGAGATCGCAAGTTGGTCGGAACTAAATTGTAACCGGTACTTCGGCCATTTTTCGTAATAAAAGTTGTTTTATTACGAAAAATGGCCGAAGTACGAGAAATGGAATGGAAAAATAAGCAAGGGTTATCACAAAAACGATCACGATCGTATGTAGCTATGTTAAAAACAGTACTTGCCTAATTCACCATATTTTTTTACCTATCTAAAGCAGTATCTCGGGTTCCTATACCGTTTAAAATATTGAACATAAGGTTGGATATAAGGATAAAAGGTTAAACAAATTTTATAAAACAGGTTAAAATTATACATTTGAGAATATTTTATTTCGTTTCTTTTGTTTCGTGATTTCAGTTGGTGAAAATATTAGGAAAAGATTTTGGTAAAATTCTTACAACCATGTGATTGCTGCAGCTTTCCATCACGATATTAATGTAATTATATGGCAATAATTTGGTATATGCAATATAATAAATAAAATTAAATGTAATTAATATATAAGTGAGACAGTAGGTAATTTAAGTATTTTTGTAATTTTATGTAAGTAATTACCTTTACCTTTTACCTATTATTAATGATCATAAAATAAAGAGATAACAATACTACTGTGACTTAATAAAATATTGCGAGTAATCTTGTGTAACACCAAACGCCTTGTACGTGACACTCCTGAACGGGCGCTCTCCTTCATACTTCATACCGCGCCCCAGCGTTGCTCCTCTAAGTAGCTGAGTTGACTCACTTTTAGTATTTACTACACATATGGTACCAATTAATTTACAAAAACATTGATGTTTATTTGATGTTTACAACAATTTTTATTTGATTAGGGGCCGCTGCAAGCCTTATTTGTATGGGAAGTTTGCACATCTCCTTTTCTCCACTGTCGCTATGTAGTAAATAGAAGAACTGCTAACGCCTACAGGAAACCGGGTGTTACAGGACAATGTCACTAACTATGGTCACAGCCCGTTTCACAATGGTCACAGCCTCAACAGCCCAACACTTGCTTGACGATGAAAAACAAAAGACAATCAATTAAAAATGTAAATTTAATTTTATCGTACCGTTTCCAAAAGCTGTCCAATAGTAACTTCATTATGAATTAATGTTTTTTATTATAAAATTATCTTTTCCATTTCGAATTTGCGTCTTCTATTTGGATTGGTGTTTTCTTTAACACATTATTTCTCTACGGTGGTGATTTCATCGATAAATAAAAGACTACCGTAATCAACATTTAATTTTTAATTCAAGTGCATTGTTTTTAAGTTAACATGAAAAAAGCTGACAATTGCTTATTTAGTGACGATCGTGATAACTCCACACCTTTGCATGATTGCACATCCCGCAAACTGGCCCTGCAAGCTGATAATAGCCGATGTAGATAAAAAGGAGTTCAAACGCATGCTGCTAATCGTACAGGTCATCGTAGGACTACAAAGAGATTCTTCACTGGTGCCTTTGTGGCTAATGCCATCCGAAAAGCAATAACCAAACTCGTAGTTAATATATAACAATTATAACTAGACCTATATCATTCGCACTACAGATTTTTTTAAATGCTTCAGTCCTATATTATAAAAAAAAAATAAGTATGTGACTACGATCTCTTTGGTGCGTAAGCTAGTCATCGCACGTAAGAATAAAATGTTTCATTGCATATTTAGCATTGTACAGGTCAAATCTTTGATAATTAATAAGCATATTGATACTAATAATTTAATGAAAACCCATAAAAATCCTCAGTTACATTTCTGCTTTATGAAGTCACAAGTGCTGGTCACATGTACCTAAGTCCCTCTACAAACCTCCCACTGAACATTTTAAAGTGTGCCATCCTTGAATATATAGGGCTACACCCTTGTTGTCTTTGTACAGTAAAAATATTTAAAATACTACATGATCGGGTGACTCAAGCGAACAGAACAAATTTTGTAATAATAACTTATCGTTTTTTTCATAAAAATTAAGATTTTCAAGCAAAAATACTCAACTTATAAAGTCCAGACTATATCACAATAACCCACAAACCCACTCTACGGACTTACATGCAACATTAGTTTTTTGTCTATTACATAGCTGGCATTTACCAATTTCAATAATTTATCTTATGTTTGAAGGGACACAATATAATATTGAAAAATAAAACAACAAACTAATAACTTAATTTTACCATCACATAAATCTAACGTCGATATAAAAGCATTGCACAGAGTAACAAGATATAAGACTTTCAAAGTGATTTTCTAAATGGTTTGACCAAAAGCAAAAAAAAAGTGTTGATGTTATTTAATTTCCAACGGCCTTCGCATATCTTTGAGAAATATCTTCCCAGTTGGCGATGTCGAAGATGGCTTTGACGTAATCAGCTCGTACATTCTTGTACTGAAGATAGTAAGCGTGTTCCCAGACGTCAATGCCGAACAGCGGAATGAGACCTTGTAAAGAATTATATAATATTAATAATTCAGCGAAAAAATATTACTTATTGACATCCATTTATCATCAGTAGTTAGGTTTTGTTATCTTCTCCTCAATCAATATTTTAACATCTGATAATGATTAAATCAATCGTCTGTAGACTATTCATTACTACCAGAAATGTTCCCTTACACCTTTGAAAACTTCGTCATTCGTTTTTTACTTTAAACTACAACTAGACTCAGACCAACAAGTTTCAGAAAAGAATAAATGTATTTTTAACTGTAACAACTTTTAAAAAGTAATTATGATCATAGACTTGGCCCTACACCACCAATCTACAATGCTGCAACTGTTCTAATTGCCCTTGAAAACATTACACCGTTAATGATATACTTACCAGTGGTGGCTTGCAGAGGATCCTGATTCAGACATGTGGCAATTTGTGTTCTCTTCATTTGTTTGTTGTATCCAAGCCAACCCCATCCAGACCCCTGGATAGCCACGGAAGCAGCTGCCAGTTGATTTTTCATGTTATCCCATGAGCCAAAATCTCTGTAAAAAATTAAATTAATAATTACAAAACCGACAAAAAATATCGTTTTATAAAACTAATGAATTATTATTTGAATGAGCTAACTGTGAAAACTACATAATATGGAAAAATTAATATTTAAAATGAAAATATGAAACGCCATTATTATGCTAAACACTGAAAAAATAGCGCAGAAGACGTATAAAAAAAAAACAAGGAGATATGGGAATCCTTCTGCATATGTTACGCTTAACATATAGCAATCGTAAAAAGTTCTGTAGGTCTGGAAATACAGTAAAGGCTAAAGCTGAGGCTACAAACTGTACAAAAAGTAAACAGCTTTTCACTCAGCGTTGCGTGAAAGCTGTAAAGGGTTGTTGGAGCAAGGTAAGCCCTAAATATGGCAGATAGAATTTATTGGAAATTGTTTGCATCATGAATGGTGCAAAGATTACAATAAATCTACTTGATAATGTATGTTTTATACATGTGTGTGTGCGTTCATTAGATTGTGCGTATGTGTATGTGTGTGTGTGTGTGTGTGTGTAATTTTTTCCAATTTTGTAATCTCATTCGGCTCTTAATATAATTATTTAGCAATAGGTCAAAACTACAAACTGGTTGTACATGTACAGGTTATCTGACGAATTGACGTAAATCCATTTATTTTCATAACACTGTAAAATTATTAAAATAATAACAACACCGTAAAATTTAATTAAAAACAAGAGATAAAATACGGTTAAGTTGGAAATGGTAAAATCCGACGAAAAGTGAAAGTAATTACATTAATTTACCACAAATTATGGCAAAAAATCTATTGTAATTGCAATGCGCACATTATTTGCGAAACTATAAATTCAGGAACTGATACAGAAGACTCATTAAGCCGTTTCAATTGGCTAGCATTTGAATTGCCATAGATGTAAAATCATTTTCAGAGACCAAAATACAAATATTACACTCCATTTACTTAAACTTGAAAAGGATTTCCAAATTGTCATTGAAAAATATATAACAAAAAAATACGTTATGTCCCAGTCCGATGGAAAACATAACTACGTCCTGTAAGACAGGCTACCATGTTAACATGCATGCGTGCATGCGTATAGTTGATCGCAACACCTAGCCTAGCCCTAACACTTGTGAAACAAACATAAAGGACGAAGCAGCAATTAACACTTGGATGCATTTAAATTAAACAAAAGCATCACATGCAAGCAATTTATAATGAAATTTACGTCTCAATGGCTTTGCAGAGTTGGTCGGAAGCTTTGGTGCTTCCAGGCGACAGGGTCTGCCAAAAGATGGCGTGGTTGATGTGACCACCGCCGTTGAACCTGAGAGCTGGGGCGAGATTGATGACTGCAGTCACATCACCTGAGGACAGAGTCAACAACATACAATTAACAATAAATTTTTAAGGGGGAAAATGGTTCAGAAACTCATTTTAATAAATATGTATGTATATTTTAGCCATACTCAAGAAAAATAATAACAGCGTTTTAAATTGATTTCCAATTCTTCATAAAATATCTTTAGAATTGAAAAGCCAAATTGAAATCCGGCCATACGGAGATTCGCATGTCTTATGAGTATTTGTCCTTCCCTATCACCTTTTGAGTAGGAGAACATAAAGTGCTGGCGATTTTATAATCGAAGCTCTGTTGAAGATTGATTGCATAAGATTATATGTTGTCCACCATCAACTTTCGACTATGAAAACCATCAAACTGCATAGCCCAATTCTTCACATTTCTTCACATTCGTAACTAGAACTTCAAAATACATCTGTGTGGTATGGCCCATTCTCAAAATTAATAAGAACAACACAACAGGTTTTTGAAAACGAGCGCACTGCTGCATACACGTATCATAAACGTGTTTTGACGACCGACGCAAGTTGACCGTTGTTGTACATGTCATTTTAAGTTTAATTATTTTGATACATTGAAGCTTTGATAATATGCGATGTAACTCATTATTACATATTGTAACAGTACTCATCGTTATTTATTTCAGATAAAGTTTTGAATATATCTTTTCCAAAACCCAGTGTAAGTATCGTCCAAAGATCAATAGCTTATCTTTGGACGTCCAAAGCAAAAAAAAACGAATTTAAAATCCAAATAGAGTAATGGATGACGGTATTCTGAAGTAACTAAAACAAAAAAAAAATATAGCCATTTGAGAACCGGAGAAAGTTCTCGTTTCGGCTGTATTTTGAAATTGGTTTAAAATCAAACTAGTTTGATTCCATTTTCCTTTGTCTGTGACGCAGTACAGATGTGTGCAGTGTTTCACAACTCGCTGTTTTTCTTTGTGCTATCAAATCGTTCGTGTTATAAAAATATCAACGTAAGTAATATTGCATTGATACAACAACTGTGGAAGATATTTTCAATACTGTTAATGGACTTCTGCAAAAGAAAAACTGTTTCGATTTGTCAAAACTGTGTTCCATTACAACAGACAGAGTTACTTGAATGACTGGAGTACATAGTAGGGGTCCATATTGGCTCACATAAAAATCGTATGGCCATTTTTTATTTTAATAGGTACCGATTTGTGTTCATAATAATCACTCTTCATAATCTTTTCTCCTCATACTTTTTTGTTCATAAATTTTTACTACTACTCGTACCATCGGAACTCATAACAGACAGTTGTCATTTTTTTAAAATTAATACTGTCATTACTAAGAACATGTTTCGACTCATAATGTTGTTTTTCAGGACAGTTTCCTTTATAACAGACAGACTTTATATCATAATTTTCTTATTAATAATGGTATTACTAAGAAAATATTTGAACTCATAATACTGTTTTTCATAAATGTAACTATTTAAAATAAGATTTACTTATGTCGATAATTATTTAGTAAAAAATATAAATGCAACTCAAGAATAACTATGTATGATGATATCTATTTATTTCTAGGTGTAATTCAGACGCACGAGGGACTTCCTTTCTAAGGTATACCTGGTTCCCCGGCTATTAGTACCCGAGACGGCGTGCGGTTTTAGTCGGTTCGAGTCCGACATGCCACCGATAGGTGGTATCCGAGGGATTTCCGCACGGAAAAAAAAAGGTGTAATTTAGAATCTAAATTACACCTTTTTTTCTAATCTAAATTTTAGATGTTATTTACAGTTTATTTCTGTCAGAAGGCCAATCGTGCAAACTTTTTCTTTTAGATCAATCATTACAGAGACAAGGGAGTCCAAATGTTTCTTTGATTCTTTGCTCGTCGTCTATTACATGTAAGTATTACTTTAAAAAATATGTTCGGTACTGGCGCTTCGCCAGCCCCGCGGCCACTGCACGCTCTCTTCGCTCCTTCGGCTCGCGCGCTGTGGAGTCGCAGTTCTAACCTAACACTCCTCGCTTCGCTCGTCGTCGTACCTAACGGAAACCTTCCCTAAGGAATTAGTTAGTATAGTTAGAAGTTTAGATCGTTAGTATTAAATATTCTTATGAAGAGTGATCATTATGATGTAAAATGGTATGAGAAATATTTTCGGACTTCCAATTATAGGACTTCAAAAGCTATGTGAAAAAATGCACACCCAAATGGTAGCTTCATTAAAATGTTACGACAAAGATCAGAAAACGGGGAGTGATAAACCAGATTTTCATCATATTCATTGCAGAATCTACCAAGAAGTTGTATAATCAACTTTGAAAGTATTTTAAAATCAGTGAAAAATGATAAACTCCATAAGGTCAATGGGCAGACGAAGTCAGCGACATTTATGCGTTTTTACTTGATTTAGAAGTGAGTACACTGGTCCAGCTTATTATACAGAGGTGCGATGGTTTTCATGTTCTACGATTCTCAATCGGTTTGAAAGCTCAAAGAAGAAATAACGTATATAGAGAAAATGTAAATCCTTTGTGCAGAATTTAAAAAAGTTTTCAGGATTTTAAGTCCCAAGAAAAAAAATCTCGATATTGATAAATATGGTGGAAGAATGCAATTGAGATTGCCGAACACCGAGGTGGTCTTTTTAGTTGGTAAGAGTAAAACAGACCCCTTCCCCTCCTCCCCCCCTAATCGGCGAAGGAGGATCCATCCATGAGGACCTTCCACCCTGTTAACAAGTAATGATGTTATGGTAGAAATGTTTTTTGAATTTGTAGAGATGTAAAATGAGTAAAACATGATTTCAAAAATGGTAGAAAAAAACTTCTACGTTTTGGATTGCATGGTTTAGGCCAATACAATTCCGGTGTTTTATTAAAAAAAAAAGTTTAATGTTTGCTCGAGATCTACAATGGGTAAATTGATTTAAATGACGTCCTAGAGAATGAATTCTAATAGAGTAGTATTAAGAAAGATTTTTATTTATGAGATAATTTATAATCAACTTGAAAAAAAAATATTTAAGTTTTATTTAAGTAAATTTTTCGTATTTACTCACACTCATAGTGTGAGTAAATACGAAAAATTCAATCAGTAAACATTGTTGACCTTAACATATTAAACGAATTTCTGGTATACATTACAATAATCCACAGTATATCTTAAAAATAAATGTGAAATAAAATACTGCATAACATATCAATCCACACTTATATCAAAATGAACCTCACACATTACAATAAATACTTTACTGAGGGACTGAGCAGCTTTTTGAAGCAGTTTTCGTTCTCTTAGACATGTTTAAAAAGATTTTTTAATTATCATAATTTCACACTGTGAGGACCACAGTGTGATACTGGGGCAATTTAATCAAGATCCATACAATAAACAATGAATACAGCACCTCTAGTATTTTTCCAAACACTAAAGGTGCTGTATTTATGTTTTAGTGTTTAAAAAGCACAGTGTATATCTTGTATTTATTTGTATGTATATATATTTTTGTTATATTTTTTATAGATTAGATAGTGCAGTCTGGAGGACCATATCAAAAACATTGAAAACTAGAACAGAAATGAGAAAAATTCAGAGTTATGATATAGAAATATTGCTGGTATTATACATTTATATCATCCTTTTTACTTCAGTGCTAAAATTGAAGTCTCTGAATAATGGTGTGATAATAGAAAATAAATGTGTGCCTAATTAGAAATTACTGTAGGAAAAAAAATTACAAATATGTAACATAAACTAATAATAGGGGCTTTTTTATAACATATAACATGTTTTCTTTCTGTGAATTTTTCTGTTAAATGCATACATTTACTACAAATAATGAGTTAACAGCTGGTTTTGCTTGCTACAAGAAATTAAACTACAAAAAAATTGAATAAAATTACTGTTCAATAGCTCTCTGTAAATCATCAGAAGGTGTAGTCGACTTTGGTGAGAGATTCGTCCACAAGATGGAATGGTTTGTATGACCTCCAGAATTAAATCTTATAGCGCTCACCAATCCTAATATGATGTTTGTCTCTGCTACTGTTAGTGGTAAAATTAAACTTTGGTAAGTATTAACAATAGTGCTCGTATCAAAAACTGTGTTTCGATTTCAAAGTACATTTTAAAAAAACATTTCATTGACCATGCCAAAACTAAAAAAATATATTTATTATGATTCAATGAAGTAAAATCACTTCTTGCATAAACCAAATAATCATTTATACATCAATAATATTTTTTATGTCTTATTATGGACATAAACAATAAAAAAATCTTTTATGAGTTCTGCTTCCATAGTCTAACAATGTGAAGAGCTTTTTGTATGTTGAATAGAACTTTAATGGACAAATACCTTTTGACTGAGCCTGCTTCAGCATTTCTTCAGCTGCATTCAAGTTGTTTACGTATGTAGCATGATGCTTAGTGTGATGAAGCGTCATAATCTCGCGGCTAATCACCGGCTCCAAGGCATTGTACTCATAGGGTAGCTCTGGTAGGGTATGCTTCTGCCTGGCACTAGTGGCGCTATAAAATAAGTTTTTTCGTTAGTATGTGAGATTCGTTAATTTTTTTAAAGCCGGTCGAAACGTCGCTGATAATATTTTATTTCTAAAAAGTAGGTAGTGAATGGAAGTAGAAATAATAGATATTTACATCAGTGATCCAAGTCTACGCGCGGAAAACATTTTATGGTATTATGAAATTATATAATATTTCCAAACTTCGAGAACTGCCCGGAAAAAACAAAGTCAAACAGTAGAATTATGCAATAGCGAGAAAGAAATATGTGTCTGTCTGTCAAATATTTTCTGATTCTGATTTGCAGAAAACATGAGCTCACTACTATTCTGTTCGGCAAAGATTTTCTTCATGAAATGCATGACATCTCTTTCACACTTGCAATTCAATTTAGTTGTACCTCTTTCTTAAAAGGCCTTTTAATATCATTGCATGAGGTTGACACTGGAACGCATCTCTGACAGTTGTTTTTAGAGAGAATGGCATGAATAGGGAATTTGCACGTGATTCCAAAATGGCCATTTTTTGACGATTTTCATTTGTAAACTTTATTGTTAAAAAAGATACAAATATTTTTGAAATTTATCACAATTTGATAGTGAAATTTAATCATCAAAAGGCGACCTTTTGAAAATTCCCTCGCAAATTTCTAAAACGCAACGCTATTGGTGGAACAAAACGTGACGTCAAATTTGACTTGACGTCTTCTGTCAACAAGTTATTTCTTTCTTGGTTTCTGGTGATTATTATTTTGTATTGTTTCGCGGTTCTTTCATATTACGTTTTTAGTTTTTTGTGTTTAAGTATTAAATCCTTGTGATACTTAACACAATGATTGAAACCGGTTTTGGTCAAAGCACAATCAGATGTTCTTCCTAGACGTGATTATGATGATCATAAATTGTTTAATACATAAAATTATTTTCAATCTGAAACCTCAAATTAAAATTCAAAAGGTAAACAAAAATAGTTTAAAACTTCCCTCTTACTCTAATAAGTTAGGTAGATTATGTTTTCATTCATAGTATGTACATATCTCTTAAGCTATGATTCATAGGCAATACTCTTATGGATAAATACCCACGTATTAGATATTGAGAATATAATTATTTTAAGTACTAGCCGAATTTGTTTTGAGGCTTTACTTTTAATATTATACACAAACATACTTATATAATTCTTAAATATACAACTTAGTCATGAAATGATTTAGAAAAAATTTCGTGTTATTAAAAGGTTGTTTTCGTCGAAGTTTGTAAACAAAATTATGTCAAGGTGAATAAGTAAAGCGGCTTTGTATTGGTGGCGCAAGGAGGCGCGGGAGCTGGGACGGAGTCCTGAGTCTCGAGAAATCGAGGATCAGAAATCCCAGCTCCGCCAGGTCCTCGTGGAGGAGTGGAAGGAACGACTTGACAACTGAGCGCTGGGCACGCTGTTATCGCGCATTGTCTTTTCTCATCGCCTTGCACCACTTTTTCCATATACCTGTATCTTTCGGCATAAGAAAATATACTTTGTTAGGTGCAGTTTTGATGTCGTTTTGGCACGTAAGAAAGACACAATATTTATAATAAACTTTTCTGTGCTTTTCCATGGTTATAACTTGATTTTATCACTCTTTTTTACTTTCAGTAACTTTGTGAACCAAACACTTCGTGTTGACATCGAACTCCCTGTAATCTGACGTCACAGAATAAGCGCGCAAAAATGATGGTTATCTTTGTATTTTTTTTAGCTCAATAGTTTTTATTTCGGGTGTGTTATATTTATTTTTGGTAATATAATAACTAGTAGAAACGTTTAAAAAAGAGACATGCATAATCCCTATTATCGATATTGAAGAAAGTGACTACTATATTGATTATTGTCCGTGTGATAACGGATAAAGGATATGTAGTGTCACCACCCCTATTCATCTCGTGGGTGTCGTAAGAATCAACTGAGCAAACTACGCACTGCAAAGAGCAGGAAAACTTGAAACAAACCCTATACCAACCCGTCTCGCCAGCGTGGTGCAGTAGGCCAAAACCTCCTTTGGCTTTTTTCCAGAAGTGGGCTATTACAAGCTGTTGATGATGATTATTATTATTATATTAAAAGAATAATATTTCTTATAAACTTCGGCGAATTTGGTACATTACATGACATGATTTTTTTCAATTTCAAATTGCAATTCAGGAGTCACAAGCGTGTTTTCGGCCTGTGAGGTACGAGTACGCTCTTTTCTTTTCTCTCTTTTTCTTGGCTTACATGATTTTGTTATTTTACACATTCGTCAAGTCATTATACACTGTCAAACATTATGCCTAGGGTCAAGGGTTTACGTACACGTGAGTCAAGGGTAAAGCCTCTCTTATCTGGAGGAGATTAGGGTCCTCGTACTCCACGATGTGGTCACCTGTTTATCAGGTGGCTCCCTAACCATTTGTGACGGAACATCGTGTGATTTTATTTAGTTTGTTCGGCTTATTGCAAAACAACATTGTCATTCGTAGATATCATTAAAATAAATTTTTACTTGAGATAAATTACAGCATACAAAATTTTCTCTCACATAAAATTAAATGGTACTTTTATGAAACCGATAACATGTTACGTCATCACTATTGGAATCCGTTTCGAACTGTCAAAAAGAAATAATAACGAATAGACTGGAAAAATGTTGGTCTTACTTTGTTAGGGTTGTTTTAATTATTATTAATACGCATGTTATTGTTCTGTTTTGTAATTATGCGCGCACGGGTGACTTTTGTCACGGTGACGAAAAAGTTTTGTCACGTCTCCAAAGTGCCGTCACCCGTACGCGCACCAAGTTCCATATTTTCCGCTTAACCAAAAGATGGAATAAGACAAAGCAGTCTCTGCTATATTTTGTCTCTCTTCTTTATGTGTTCACCCGTATTAAAATTATTCTAGTATTATTATGTTAATTTCTTTATCTTTATTTGATTTGTTGAAAAAAAACAAAATTTTAGTTATTTCCTTATATTCCTTTAAAAAAAAAGATGGCTCGGTAAAACCGGGTCTGTGTTAGTTGCGATCATAGACTAATGAATATAGTGAGCTGTTGTGCCGACAGACGAGACGTCACGTACTCACATAGTCTGATGAACCGTTTACATTTTACATTAGTGTGCGTAGTTGAACTGTGTGCACGTGAGCACTGCGATGCCTTGGTGTGCATATTGTTACGAGGTTACGAGAGACGTCGAACGTACGACAGTGTTGTGTGTCGAGTTGAACTTTTTGCCGATCGAAAATTTGTGATTACATGAAAAGACGCATTAGGTTTTCATCAAATTCAAATCAAAACTTACGTAACCAATTATGATGACTTTTTTTCATAGCTAAGTGTGTTTGTCTTTATGCGCGTGGACTTAACATTAATAAGCGGTGCATTTGTTTATTTATAGACAGTCGCAATTTACAGACATGTAATATTATTCCTGTGGCGCTAAAATGTCTCATCAGAGGGATACAGCGATACATTTGGTTGCTGGAGGGTATGTACCTATTACTAAGTACGGGGTCTTTGATAAATATACTAGTGCGATTATTATATAAATATCTTTATCTTTATCATAATGTATGTGAGTATTGGCACATGTGCCCAAACGATGTTTACGCAGTTTCACTTTGATTGCGTGTGGCATACTTTTAACAGAATATAATATTTTTATAGTTTTTGATCACACATTTCTCATTCCGATCACTGTTATCATTGATCTCAAAATGTGTCACAAAAATAATTCAAGGACATCTGACAAACAGTCGTTTTCTCAGCAATGTTTAAATATGTAAATACAATAAACAAAAATAACACCGCTTTGTCTTATCAAAACGGTGTTATTTTTGTATTGTTAAAAAGCAGTAAAATGTACTTTGTGTAATAGATTGAAATCATTATTTTGAAACACAGAAGATCTTAACTTTTTATATTGATATGATAATTTTCATATACTTTTCTAAAAAGTAATATTACTACCTACTTTATTAAAGGAAATCCAGTAGTTAAGTCAGGAAATGTTGTTTTATCAGTTTATTATTTTAAATACAATTATTAAAAATATACCAAAGTTTGTATCTGTTGAAAATTTATTGGAATTCTTTGTTTATTTTTTATCAACCAAGTACCTAGGGTTCCAACTTTTTGAATGAGAAATGAAGTATATTAAGGTTGAAGATATAAACTGAATAGTACTTTACAAAAGAAAACAGTTTTTCTTAAATGTTTTAAAAACACTTTTTTGAAGCTTCTTGCACAATTTAACCATTCATTATCATTTATAAAATATTCATAAACCTCTCCACAATTTAAGTTAATATTGAAATAAATGAGGAGATCATTTTTTATTAAATAAATAGAAGCTGTATTTTTCTCATCCTGCCACTTTTCATACCAGTGAACATTGATATAATACTTACATAGATGAGTAATTACCGCCTAAAATCGTTGCTACTGCACATCTGTCCACAGGCATATGCGTAGCAAACGTCAATTCAGTGTTCAATGTGGCGTCAACCGAGTTGAACATAGCGACACATGACAGCAACAATCGCCAAAATGGGTAAATGCGTAGTGAAAGAATGCAATTCAAGGTCACAAAACCATAATAAATCATGCGGAATTACTTATCACGTGTAAGTTTATGGTTTTTGTATTGATAATATCGTAAATAAGGCTATAATTGAAATAAAACATTGATAATTGTAATTTAGAATCAGTGTTACCATTAAAAAAACATTTTTGTTTTCCCACATTAGTGGGAGAATTTATAATTTATGAAATAATATGCTTTATACTGTTTTTAAACATTTTGTCAATAATAATAAAATATAGGAAGAACGGTAGTTGTTAGGGCTGAATCGATCACTTTTTTTAGGGACCCGTTGAACGTTCACCGTCTGCCAAGCTCGCAGTGCTGGAGACTTTTGTATACAAGAATTAATTCATTAATTCATTCATTTTTCTTAATTAATTATCAAATATAAATAACAATTGTACAAAAAAATATATATATATATAATAAAAAAGTAAATAAATATAAATAAAAAAAATTAAAAAACAAAAAATATATATATATATTTTTTATATATTTTTTTTTATTTGTATTTTAAAATATTAAAAGAATTTGCAATACACCCTGGGGATTATTTATTATCAGTACAAGTTGATCATTCACTTTTACTATTAAATGCCATTATTTATACATAGGTAAAAATGAGATTGTATCATGAAAGTAAAATATTCACACAAACTTATAAAAAAGAGTAAAAGACAATTGTATACAAAACTGATGCTTCATAGCGGAGTTTGATTTTACACTGAATATAAACCCTTTTAACCAAATATTTCTAGTTATTTTATTATTTATACCTATTCCATTCAATTCGAAATATATTATTTAAAATATTTAAATTAATTTATTTTATTACAAAATTGTTTAATAAAAACATTGTTTCTTGGTTGTTATGGGTAAAATTTCATACGGTAGTCAACACTGGCCCACCATCGTAAAGTTATGTCTTTGTCTTTGTCTAATCCGAGCGATGGTATTGTTCTTGTCTCGCGTGTAAATGAGACATAAATATGTTTACTTTCAAATGTTTCGTGGTATCAAAGCTACGTCGTCAAAGTTCAAAAGTGGTTACACTTTTTTCTACGTGTGATAGTGAGGTTTGCTTCTCTAGTGTTGTTTTAACTCAATGCCAGTGAACATAAAAACAGTATTTTGTAGTATACAAAGTACCGTGGGAGAGCCATGCTTCGGTATGAATGGGGCGGCTCGACCGGAGTGATACCACGGCCTCACAGAAAACCGGTGTTAAGCAATTCTTCCGTTGCCTTTCACTGAGTGAGTGAGGTTACCGGAGCCCAAATCCCCTCTCCAGACTCCAAGGGCAGCAACACACTTGTGACTTTTGAGTTGCAGGTGTCCATGTGCGGCGATAATTGCTTACCATCAGGTGACCCGTCTGCTCGTTTGCAGGGGGCAAACCAATATACCAAATATATACCAAATTTTTTTTTTATAGAACATTAAAAAGTATTAACAAATGAAAAAAAAGTAGGATACTGTTTTTAACAGTATGGTTGAGAACCATACATGTATCTTTAATATTTTATCACAAATCATTTTAAAATAACACAAATTTTTAACTTAGCTTCAATTCATTAGAATTGTGTCTCCTCAAGTAAAATTTGTGTTAGTATGGTTTGTATTATGAAATGAACAACTTTAATTTTTAAAACATGTTGTCATTAAATAAGGAAATCTAAATAATTTTCATCAAAATTTATACACAGACCATATGGTATACAGTGGTAACAATTACATGAATACTATGTTTTAAGTTATTACTAATAGTGGTTTAAATCTTCACATGCCACCCCTCTGATATGTCACTACACTGTAAAGTGTTTTCACCGTTAAGCACTGCACAATGTAGCGGCATATTTTTCATGTTAGTTGGGGCAGATGAGCAGATGGGTCACCTGATGGAAAGTGACCATCGCCGCCCATGAATGTCTGTAACTCAGGAGTCACAAACGCGTTGCCTACCTTTTAGAAAAGATTACACATTTGAAGGTCTTTTCAGTCCAGAAATGCCTCAGACGATAACCCGTTCCATAGATTGGTTGTCCCCGCACAACCAATCTGTGAAAAAAGAAAATGCCTCTAAAAGCGCACAGTAGTGGAGCGTGAAAATTTTGCTGTGTGGAACGATGGCGGAAAGTTGCGGCTGGCATTAGTCCGAACGATTCCTCGGAGCGCTCTTCATGATATATGGGATAGAGAATGCAGAGTGAAGCCACATTTCTACGTAACGCCACGGGATCGAGCCGATCGGAGATGTTTGGGCTATCGACGATTCGAGTCCCTCTTCGTTGGATGCGGTCCAAGAGGGAGAAGCTGGTACTGAGGTTAATTCCCATAAGTGACAGCAGAGAGTAATACAAGTTGGAACTAACTAATAACATTAACTTTATTTCAAATTTCTTTAATATAATGAAGTACTTAGTAAAATATAAGACATATTAAAATAAAATAAAAACCAATATCATATGATGTCAAAAAATAAATAAATCTAAAATGTCCAGAAGAAAAAGCTGGTAGCTCTGATAATTGGTTCATATTTTTAACTTCTTTTATTATACCTCTCTAGGAAGGAGAACTGTCTCTCTCACTGGAAGTCTATGGAGAAGTTCCTGTAAATTGGTTAATGACAGAACAAAGATGGAAGTGTTTTAGCTCAAAAAAATTTAAAGCAATTTTATTCTTTGAATTTTTTCACATTAATAAATAATATCTGTTGATATTAATTATTTTTGACTCAAATAAGAGCCTAGCTATACATAAAAAGTAATTCTGAAAAAATATCAACATCTTTATTATCTATGCAATTTAAAGTAATTCATTCTAACCCTGAATGTAAAACATTGTATATCTTAGTTAATAATCACACTTAATAATTGTTCTAGCTCAATTTGTCATTGTTTGTTGGATGCGGGCAGCACAGGACGGGTTGTTGTGGCGAGCCTTGGGCAAGGCCTATGTCCAGCAGTGGACATCTTTCGGCTCAGATGATGATGATGATGAGTCTAGTAGTCCTGTAATCATTTTATAACAAAGGAACTAAAAAAAAATACTTGTATTCACTTAGTACTTGTTTTAGATAACATTTACTCATGTGGATAACTTTTCTCTTATAAATAAAAAAAACAAACATTATTGATGAAATGAGATTTTTTCTGTAATTAGAGTATATTATGATGTGTAACTAAGGACATCATATTGAAACAATAATAAAAGCCCATTGAAATTTTATATTATTAAATAAAATATTATTATTCATATATTCCTTGTTTAGTTTCAAAGAATTTACGAAATTTACATTTTCCACAGAGTGGCGGGAACTGCAGGCGCCGTTGTAACATGTCCACTAGAGGTTGTGAAAACTCGCCTCCAGTCATCAAAAGGTGTTGGATTATCACCGCCATCACAACCACCACCACCATCAGACAATACTGCCAATGCCAGGAAAGTCTGCTCAAAGATTACTAAACATCAGGTATTTATAAAATAACTATTATATAGTTTAAATGTATTGTAAAATGATAAATATTAATACTCTTATCACATTCAATCATCTATTTTTTACTTCTAATCTGAAAACGTTCAGGCTTTATCAAGTTAATGAAAATTTCTGTTTTTAGTTGACCAAGTAACAACATAAGTTAAAAATTATAACTGCATTACTATATCTGACTACAATACTTGCCTTCTAAAAAAAAAGTCTTTATTATTTAGCTTAACTTATAAAAAAAGAATGCCCAAATAGCAATTTTAAAATAAAATATAATTTACTAATAAATAAAATCTTAAATATAAATTTCAGGAAAATTGCGTTTTATATACTAACAAACCCACAAAAATTGTTTACAAGAAATGCATAGAAATTGCGGCCTTAGTTGATTTAATAAGGTATACATAGTATAAATATTAAAGAAACATAATATATAGTCTAATAACGATTGCGTAAAAAAATGTGAACCAAAGTTTATTCAAACCAAATTTATCATTCATTATCATTACATAACTGTAATATACACAGTTACTAAAACGGAATAACACATACAGAATTTAACAAAAAAGTTGATATTTGTTGTTTAGGGTTGTACTTATTATACAACATAATTACGAACATATATTATGTATTGTCGTTACAACTAAAGTAAGTTCAATGTTGTAACCGCAGTTATTTTTAGACTTGCAGTGAAAAGAAACCTGTTTACAAATACGTTGCGTTCAATATGTATTCAGAGAGCGCGTACATTGGACGTCAATTTTGCAGAACGGGTTTAAATAAAATGAATTATTGGGTAAAAACAATGTAGTGGTTAATCGAATGATGACCTAATATCATCAATAGCTTTTAGTGGTGCACTGCTGGACATAGGCCTCTCCTTAGAAAGGAGGTTTCGACCTACTATAACACGCTGGCTAGACGGGTTGGTATAGGATTTTTACCGCGCGGTGCGACAAAAGCTCCGCGCGTCAGGCCCCCCCCTTACGGAGACTCTCCAGCCCAGCTTCCTGCGAGAAGTGGTTGAGGGCCTTTTCCCACAACGGGCGGAACACACTCCCCCGTCGACGAGGCTGGCAAATTGTTTGAGAGGGTTCTTTCTGCCCGCATCGTCCGGCACCTCTGCGAGGTGGGCCCTTTCCTTCCGACTGACGCAGGTGCTTTCCGGGCACGGTTGCTTCGGAAAGTACCTGCACACGGTCGCTAGGAGGGAACTGAGTCCCGCCTGCCACCACTGCAACTGCAGTGAGGACTCGGCCCAGCACACGCTGGCGGTCTGCCCCGCATGGGCGGCGCAGCGCCGGGCCCTCACTGCAGTCATCGGAGTGGATCTCTCGCTACCGGCCGTAGTACGCTCCATGGCCGGTAGCGACAGTTGTTTTACCGCGGTCGCAACCTTCTGCGAGGTAGTAATCTCGCGGAAGGAGGCGGCGGAGAGGGCCCGGGAGGACGACCTCCACTCGGACCCGATCCGCCGCCGGCGAACCGGGCGGCGGAGGCCCGCCTACCACAGCCTCATGCCGCCCTGAGTGTGGCCGCGGGTGGACGGGGTGGGTTTCCCCTCCACCCGCATTAGTTGGCCAGCCGCGAGGGGGCGGCGTCCGCGTGTGCCGGACGTCGCCTAAAGAGAGGAACATCCACATTGAGACGGAGCCCGCACCAGGAGCGGGCTGGCGCTAGGAGGGGTCCGGATGTCTTAACAACAGCTGTTCCCGGATCCCTCCTGTTACAGGCGCAGAGTGGCACACCGTGTGGTTTTAGTCGGTCCGAGTCCGACACACCACCCCGCCGCAAACCCCGGAGGGGTGACGGTCCGAGGGGATTTCCACACGTTAAAAAAAAAAAAAAAAAAAAAAAAAAAAAAAGGATTTGTTTCAAGTTTTCCTTCTCTTTGCAGTGTTGTTGTCGCTTAGTCGGTTGGTAAAATACCCACGGGATGTATAGGGGTGGTGGCACTCCGTATTCTTAATCCGTCACCACACGGATAACCTATTATAACGTTCCTTTATCGATAACATGCTTCTCGATCAATACGTAGGAGATCGAATTTACGATTATGCAACAACAATTGTGTCGCAGCAATATGTTATCGAGCAATTTTAACTACTTGCCACTAATGAATCATGAGACCTTAATGTTTACCGGTTGGATGTTTCGATAGCATTGTTAGTTTGCTTCCTAAACAAAACGTTTTTTTTAATACAAAAAATGTAAGGTTATGTTGTTGTTGTGCAATACTACTGAAAAACGAATACAAATATAAACACGTATTTTAATTGGCCACTTTAACGAATTAGAAAACCCATTAAAAGAAGAGTCGAATTCTTTTAATTGAGTTTTTGATAATTGTATTTTTTTTTTCCCTGCTGAGTCTTAACTGAACTAGACCAACATCAGTGACCTATGAAAATAGTTCTTATTAAAACACGATGTATAATATACACAATAGTAGAGAGAAAAATAGGAATACATAGATTTAAACGTGCCGCCATTTCCTTGAACAAATATTTATCATTATTTCGGTAACTAACGGGGTATTACACTTACCTTTGAAACGTTTCGACCAGGTTGCACTGCAGGCGAGTCCGCCTGTGACAACTGAGGTTCCCGAAATAACAATTATATATCGTGAAACGTAAAAGATTAATATTTAGAAAATTGTAATCAGTAATTAATAGAATGATGATGATCTATTTATCTATATGCATCTTCTCTATCACGCCACTCCTCGCAGTTTTGTATCAGCCGGATCCATTGCTCTCCTACCGCACTCACAATGTCGTCTGACTTTAGGTGTTCTATCACTATGATTGATTGTTTACACAATTAAAATGTATGGCATTTCATTCAATAAGACCTGTTTTAAAATCAATACACTGTCAAATGTGTATATGTAAATCATCTGAATAGACCTCACTATACAAATAGCTTCAAGCTTCAAAAGAAAAGGCTTTTTCAGTTCAGGTTTTCTTAGAACTTCAACAATATTGCTCTCGCCGGCATTTTGAAAGTACTATTATTTATAAATGGCTTGCTGTAATATAATATAATGCGGAACAGAAAACAGTTATGCCAAAAACATATCAGTCATTCGTATTTACTTAGACTAATCTACTTCTGAGATTTTATTTCCATTTGTTCCATTGTTGGAGGCGAGTTTTGTTTTGGCTAAAATAATGTAGGTTAAACCTAATTGCTAACTGAATGAATGATGAATGAATAAATGAAGGATTTAAAAAGTTACCTATAATTTGGTATTCTGTACCAACTGACTTCAAACAGAAGTTTTTGAATTTGGTCTGTAGTACTTTGTATTCTCGTTTTGCCACAGTTGTGAACCGGTTTTATAAATTATTTCTCTGTTATTATAAAGGTTGTGTCTAATATACCGGTCCCATAAAAAAAATTAAAGTATCCTCTTCCTAATAGTCAACCAAAAGTATCTGCTGTAAATTGTGAAGACTGTTCATCGCGACCTGAATATGTGCACTATATACATTGAATTATTTATTCCCTCAAAGCATTTTTACGAGTCGGCAAATATGTATGTGTGACTGGTGTGTCAATCGGTCTTAGCTGTGTAAACTACTTTTTTTATAAAACCAAATTGGCAACGCTAGAATGCCAAAAAGGCGATAGAGACAAAAAATATTTGCGCGGTGAATAGATGTCTACAAGATATTTTACAGCTAAAAGCACAGTTCGTCGTTCTTTTTAGTGTAATTTAATTTTCTTAACATGTACTGATTTGCTGAGTCCACTACGTTGTTATGAAGTATACAAAGAATTGCTACTCACCCGGAGTTATCTTATCGAAGTTATTGTGTTCTATATCTAGGTGCATGCCCCTAGTCATCGTGGTCAAGCGTACTAAGAATTGTTTATCCGGTTTACACCCTACAAGATACAACTTTTAATCTGATGAATAGCATTTAAACAACAACCAGGGGAAATCCCCGAACACAGGTATCTGCCTGTTTTTCGTTGTGAATATTTTAAAAGGAAAGAACTCGGTATACTACATGTGACCTTGAAATTTAAAAAAAAAATTAACGCGCTATACAGATCGGCCAACAAACAAATTCAGAATTCATTTAATCTAACAAAACAATAAACAATTATTATTTAGTTAATACAGAACTCTTCAATGAATATTTGAATTTAATGTCGTGTATTTATTGAGTTTTCCTTGAGATATGCAAATAAAATGTGCCCTCAATATTGTATAATCAGTTGTATCACTAGAAAACAAAAACAATATTCCTACATTGTTAATAATATGAGTTTAATATCTTTCCCTGAGATAGCGATCAATTCTGATATTATTACTACTGCTCTAAATGATTATATTTCGGTATATATATACATGAATTTATTGCTAATGAAGCTATTTCATAAATACATTTATCAAATAATAACAATTTTGAATTCTCTACTCAGTTCTGTAGCTATAAAAGTTAATTGCTGACAGAATGCGGGGTTTCAAACAGTGATGGAACTCCTTGCGTGGTCATTGCATCAGTTTTTTTTTTTTGAAAAATAAATAAAACTGATGCAATAAGGATGCAACTGAAAACCGTATAGACTAGTTGGCAACATTTGCACACATCTGCTGGATTGTTGCAATAGTTTTTTTTTAAACTGACGCAATATTGACGCAACTACAACGGCCCTTGCGGTTCTTATTATCCAGGTGATCACGATATCACTTTTAAAATACGCCCTTAAATAGAATCGCAGCATTTTTTAATTTAATTGAACTATTTTTTAAATTTGCAGTTCAGTAAAATTAAAAAAGAACAATATTTAATGAATAACGTTCTGATTATATCGTCAGAGAAACTTCAAAATGCAACTTAAAATACTATCCTATCACCATCCAAATTACGTAGAAAACTAAGAAGGTACATTTCTTAAAATTAACTTCAAATGATTTTTAACATAGTAAGCTAGTTAGCTAGAAATTAAAACAGTATGGTGTATTA